AGCTGGGCATGGTCCCCTCTGTCCCCGTCATTGCTGCTCTCCACCTTCGTGGGGCTTCTGCTCAACAAAGCTAAGGTACGCGGGCCCTTTTCCGGGACCCCCACACCGAGGGGGTCGCGCAGTCCTGCCTCCTCCCGGGACTCCCCCGGCCAGCCGGCTGCTGTTCTCCCCAGCCCCCACCCCCAGGGTCCCCGGACCAGGAATGCCCCTGCCCCAGGTGACCCCGTCTTCTTGTTGAGGTCCCTACTCCGCTCTCTATGACCCAGGCACCAGGTGGCTCTTAGCCTCTTCTTTCCCTGGCAACTATTAGGACAGGTGCAGGAAGACATAACCTTGAACAGGGCTAGCGTGTGAGGTAAGAGGCAGGGGACAGCACGCTGGATTTTGTGAGTGATTCCTGCAAGGCCAAACAAACTCCACCAAGGAAAGCTAATCAGAGGGGCTGCCTCTGCCTTTGTTTTCCCAAAGGGCTCTCTCCTGGGGCTTAATGACAGGGTCCTTTGACCCCGTGAAGGGCAGAGGAGTTACAGACAGGTGAAAGAAGGCAACTTCCTTCTCTTCCTGTCTCTCCAGTTGTTCAAAGTGGGCAGCGAATCCCTGGATTGATACAGCTGCCTAGAGGAATGCTGGGACTAAGGCTGGGCGCTGTCCCCATGGGGAAGGGAGAAGGGGCCTGAGCTTGACAAGTCTTATGTAACAGCCACCAGCTCCCGTGTTGGCAGTGCGTGCCCTACCCCATGCCAGGGCTACACCAGGCTCCTTGGCTGCAGCCAGGATGCACGGCTGACCCTCGAGGCACAGGTGAGGCTTGCAGAAGGGCCTCAACTGGAGTCTCCAATGTGAAGGTGCAGACCTCGGTCAGCCTTTCTTTGGCACATCTCTAAACACCACCTCTGCATTAACGCAGGGACCACTCTTTGAGCCCTTGCTTCTGCCCTGGAAGGGGAATGCTGCCTGTTTAGTGTCTGTGAAGGTAGAATTTGCTGTCCAGAACAGTGCTCACTACTGTTCAAACCAGGTTTGCTGATGGTTGAATATTAGGAAACAGCAGATCCAAACTTTCTGGAGTCTTTGCACAGGAGTCCCAGGGTAGCAGCTGGAATCACTTCCTCTGCTTTCCTATGAGAGGCTGGCTGTGCAGGGTCTCTGTCCCACCTTCTCCAGTGCTAGCCTCTTTCTCCTTACCAGCCTGAGGTAGGATTGCTTGCCCTGTAAGAAAGGTCACTCCTGGGACATTTTGTTCCTCTCTGTAATGGAAAGTGCTGAGTTTCCCTGGAGCTCCTGATTTCCTATTCATGGCAGAATATCAGGCTAGGTATGCAGCAGCACTGTTCTCCCTCCTCTCCTGCCCCTAAGAGCTCGTGCCCTTATCCCTGCACCATCTACACAGAGCACTTAAGAATCAGCATATGGTTCTGAGCTCAGGGAAGTTTAAACTAAAGGACAGTCCCCACCCTAAAACAAACCCCAAAAAATCAACAGCAAGTCTAATGATGCTTTATAGGAGCCTCTCCTACCTTCCCCCATCCCCAGGTCAAATAGTTTTAGCTCCTCAGGAGTAGGAAACCATAGAAGATTCAGTGCTCCTGGCTCCTGCACTGTTGGGTAAGAGTGAAAACAGGAGTGCCCCTCTAGACAGATGACACCTGTCTCCCATCCCCAGTGATAATTGTCTCAGCTGAGGGCCCTGCTTTGACAGACATGGCCATGGTCACCAGTGGTAGAGTGCTTTGCAGCTACAGCCTGTGTAGACAGATGTCATCTGAGGCACAGGGGGTAAGCACTGCCAAAAATAAGTGTAAGAGTGGGCATTCAGTGTGGGCATGCTTTAACGTTTGGGTTTCATTCCAAATGGGCAACATGGACACTTGTGCAGCTTTTTTGGTTGGATCCAGAGAAAATCTTTCACTAGTTCTGCCTGAAAATGCTGATAAGATCTTTGCTGCAAGGGAATCAAATCTGTGGTGACCCTCTTACTTGAACATTAGGGGGTTTAGACTTATCATTTAGGTAAGATTCAAATTTTGTTCAATACCCCACATGCGGCCAGTCTTAGCAAGTGCAGCAGGGGTCGCTTATACCCTACTTGCTGCAAGTAAGTTTTCTCTCCAACTGCAGGTTTACGCCAGGTCTCCTCTCTTCCTGTTACTGCTAGCCCTGAGGACTGGCTGGAGGAGGGATCCTCTTGCATGTAGGATAGGCAAGGTTCTTGAGATGAGCCCTCCTGCAGCACATCCGTCCCCACCCCCCTTCAAGCTGACAATCTCATGGGCTTTGAGCTGCTGACAGCCTATGAGGCTGACAGCACACAGCATAAGTAATTTTAGCTGAGTTATTTCAGGATCCTGTTCTGATCAGGGTTGAGCTGGCCCCACGCATGCCCCAGCCAGTGTTGCTCCAGAGTTGCCTGCTCCCGGGTCCCCTCCTTGAGAAGAGGGGGTGGCAGACTCATCTGCAAACTGTTCCTTAACCCTTTGGGCCTGAAGGTTTTCTGACTCATTGGAGGTATGCCCCATACTATGGAGAAACCTTGACAAACAATGCTCAGAGTTTGTGATCTAGCACCTGTACCCTCTCCAACCCTCTCACCATCCTCCACAATTGAGACGAGGAAGAGTGACACCTTCAGCCAGGTGCTTACCTCTGCTTGGCGCAATCTGCCATTGTAAGGATTCCCAGCAGTGGCCAGTTAGGATGTTGAAACTAGAGCCAGGCAGGGAGGATTCTCCCAGCCTTTAATCAGCCCTAAAGAGCTGAGCTCAACTGGAAGGAATTCCACCTGTCTCTGACAATTCAGAATGGCAGGCAGACTTGAGTTTTTCCCAGCTGATGGAAACTCAATTAGGGTGTTTTGTCATCTAACTTTTCCTAACCACCATGAAGTGCCCATTCTGAAAGCTGTTGTATATCTTGGGCATCTAGTACAAATCTAGGTCATCTGAGAGAGCACCTAGATTTGGGTCCTGAAATTTCTTGCAACCAGGAGTCAAGTATGTACCCAGATCTATGAATTGCTAGTCTCCAGTTCTAATCACCAGTCTCCATTGTAATAAAGGATAACATAAAGATGGAGAGAAATAAAGTCCTGAAAGCAAAGTCCCAAAGAATAGTTTTGTTGTGTGTTGAAAATAACAGGCATTCCTCAGTCTTTCCTCCAAGATACATAGACTAAGGCTGAAGAGAGAAAAATACTTGTAAACTGTTGCTCATGGCTCAATCAAGCAGCACAGGTTCAAGAGCCTAGCACAGGCCCAGCCTCTCCACCTCATCCTTATAATGCCTTGCATTCGTTGCTTACAGAATTCTAAGAGTGTCCAGGGTCTGGCTGGCCTTCGAAACCTTGGGAATACGGTAAGTTCTTCCCAGTCCACTTCTTTCCTGGGGCCGCCTTCTACTCTCTTGACTGGGATAATCTGACCAAGTCCCCTCATGGTTCCAGATGACTACCCTCTAAGGCAGTTGGTACCTGCCCTTCCTGATGTTGCACAGGATTGCTGGGCCCTTCCTTACCCATACTCAGCAGGAAGTACTACTAAAAGGAAGTTGCCTTTTAGCTGTCAGCTTGCTGCTCTTCTGGCTCCTTCTCCTCAAGGACACCATCATTTCCCACCCACTTATGTCCTGAATGCCCACACCCGTTTGTACACCTCTACAGTAAATAGCCAGCTGCGTCACCTGTGCCCATAGTGGGGATTTGCCTCACTTCATGGCCTTCACTTAGGAAAAGAGGAACTTGAAGCTGTGAGAGGGCTCCCTTCTGGGTAAACGAACCAGAGCCTTTCATACTAAACAATAGAGATTCTAGATGAGGGTCTTATCTTCCCTACTGTGTTAGTCAACTTTCAGTCACTATAACTAATACGTGCAGTAAATCAACTCATTAAAAAAGGTTATTCTGGCCCACATTTTTGGAACTTTCAGTCCATAACCAGTAGCTCCAGGTCTGGCCAATGGCCGCATATCATGGTAGAATCACATGTCAGAGCAAAACTATTTACCTCATGGCCAAAGCCAGGGAGACAGACTAGGTCCCACCATACCCTTGTAGGACACACCTCTAACAATCTGAAGACCTCCCACTTGGCCCCACCTCCTGAAGTTTCCACCACTTCCCAGGAGTTACAGGCCAAGGATCACACCTCCAACACACTGGGCTTTGGGTGACAAAATCCAAACTGGAACCCTCTGATTGCCTGGCATATCTCTTTCAGTGCTTCATGAACTCCATTCTGCAGTGCCTGAGCAACACCCGGGAGCTGAGGGATTATTGTCTGCAGAGGCTCTACATGCGGGACCTCAGCCATACCAGCAGCACACACACAGCCCTCATGGAAGGTGAGAAGCCCGCAGGATGTACCTCTCCTCTGTTACTCTTGTTTAGCTACACTTTGTTGGGATTCTAGTTTCAGAGTTCTTAATAGAAAATATCTCAGATAATACAAAATAGGGAGATGTATCCTCCACAAATGAGAAGGGGAAACGAGAGATGGAGGGAGGGAGGGCAAGGGGAAATAAAAAAAATTAGAATGTGTTATACACATGTACCAGCTCCCCACAACAAATGTCATATACAGCAAACATGTACTAATAACCATTTAAAAATCTCACCTACCCTCTGCACCCCTTCTGCCCTTCCCTTGCAACAGAGTTTGCAAAGCTAATCCAGACCATATGGACTTCATGCCCCAATGATGTGGTGAGCCCGTCCGAGTTCAAGACCCAGATCCAGAGATATGCACCGCGCTTCGTTGGCTATAAGTGAGGGCCTTGCTGTATGTCCTCCAGGGCTGGTGGCAGCAAGCTCAGGGCCTTGGTGCAGAGCTGTTGCTGACACTTCTCCTTGTGTTCAGTCAGCAGGATGCTCAAGAGTTCCTTCGCTTTCTCTTGGATGGGCTTCACAATGAGGTGAACCGAGTACTGGTGAAGCCCAAGTCCAACCCTGAGAACCTCGATCACCTCCCGTAAGTAAGAGGAGAATGCCATGGGGAAGCAGAACTTTTGTGAGCTTGTGTGTTTCACCTATTTTGGGCGGGCGGGTAATGAATGATTTGAAAAGAATTAGATTTGCTTTTGAAGATTAAAGATCTAGGTTGATAGACCCTTAAACATAACATGGTTTGTGAATTGTCTTCTTCTCTCTGCTTCCCAGTGATGATGAAAAAGGGCGACAGATGTGGAGGAAATACCTGGAGAGGGAAGACAGTCGGATTGGGGGTAAGTACACAGGACAGAGAAGCGCCTGCTTCTCTCTGAGCAGAGCATGAAAAGCCCTTGGGGACTCATTCTCCCAGGAAACCCCGCTTCTGCCCACATCTAACAAACGGGCAGGAGCACAGAAGGAAGAACAGGGCCCAGATGTGTTCAGCATCTCTTGGCCTTCTCTTCCCCAGATCTCTTTGTTGGACAACTAAAGAGCTCCCTGACATGCACCGACTGTGGTTACTGTTCTACAGTTTTCGATCCTTTCTGGGACCTCTCATTGCCCATTGCTAAGGTATGCACCCCTCTCACCCCAGCCTTGGAGCACCCACCCTGCCCTTGCACATCATCCACCCCGACCTTTGCTTTTGTCTCTCCAGCGAGGTTATCCTGAGGTGACACTAACGGACTGCATGAGGATCTTCACCAAAGAGGATGTACTGGATGGTGATGAGAAGCCAGTAAGTCACCCTTCAGTAACAGTGAGAAGAGAGACCAAGATGGGGTAGGTCCAGCTGGGGAGCTGATTTCTCCCCCAAGTTCCTTCTAGCTCCATTTGACTTGTCTTCCAGACATGCTGTCGTTGCCGAGCCAGAAAACGATGTATAAAGAAGTTCTCCATCCAGAGGTTCCCAAAGATCTTGGTGCTCCGTATCCTTAAGGTTCATCAGGGCAGGACTATGATTCTTTTTCTTTTACTGGAGCTCAAATCGAGGGCCTAGTACCTGTCACTCAAGCATCCTGCCATTGGCAACATCCCCAACCCCAGGACCTGATTGTTGAGGCTAACCAATGACAAGGGACTAAAAGGCAAGGGGAGCAGAGTAGGAAAAAAAATGTGTAGACTTCCTTGTGTTTGCTTTCCTACCTCCTGAGGAAAATGCAGTGGCCCCCGTGGAACTCAGGTCTCCCTTTTTGGCCTATCTGGCTGCACTTTCTGTCCTTGACTCACATCAATGCCAGACCTGAAGCGGTTCTCAGAATCCAGGATACGAACCAGCAAGCTCACAACATTTGTGAATTTCCCACTAAGAGACCTGGACTTGAGAGAATTTGCCTCAGAAAACACCAGTGAGTATCTCTGAGTAAGAAGAGAAGAATCGGGGCACAGTGTCTAGGACACAGGTAGGAGGGAGACTGGAGGCAGGAAGCTAGCACAAGGAAGAGAAAGACGGAATAAGGCAAAAGGAGGGAAACTGGGGCAAGCAATGCCTCCATGGCTTCATCCTTTATTTCCTCTTCAGACCATGCTGTTTACAACCTGTACGCTGTGTCCAATCACTCCGGAACCACCATGGGTGGCCACTATACAGCCTACTGCCGAAGTCCAGTGACTGGCGAATGGCACACTTTCAATGACTCCAGGTGAGACAGGGCTCGGGCAGCACTCTTGGTGACCACCCACACCTCCTTCATCTGCATGTCTCCTATCTTGAATGGCCAGCAACAGTCAGGCCCGAAAGCTGCATAACACACGTCTGCTGCGCACTCAAAGGCTCTGGAAAGACAGGCTGGCTTTGGGTTTGTAGTGTGGAAATTAGAGATGTGGGCCTCTTCCTTACCGCTCAGCCGTGTCCCTCATAACCTCTCCTGACTTTTCCATGCTTTCTCCACAGTGTCACACCCATGTCTTCCAGCCAAGTGCGCACCAGTGACGCCTACTTGCTCTTCTACGAATTGGCCAGTCCACCCTCTCGTATGTAGCAGTGAGGAGCTACATTCTTTCCCATTTCCCTGTGGTGGCCTCACACCCTAAGTTTTTTTAAATACAAAAAAAAAAAACAACAAAAAACCTGACAAATAAGAGAAATATAAACTAAAATAAAGCTGCAGAGCAGAAGTTGATGCAGCCTGGTCAGGGTCTGGAGCAAGGAGCCAGGTGCCCCTGAGCCATGCCTAACAGGAAAGACCACCTGGACACAGAGACCAGAGACAGCCCAGTGCTCCCTGGCCTCTCTTACTTGCATTTTTAAGCTTGTGGTTCTCCTGTGTGTAATAAACAACAGCGGTCTGTGGAGAGAGGATCCAAGTCCACCTGCTGCTCTCTCCAGCCCCTGCGCCTTCTGGGAAGACAGCGCCCTCTGGAGCCTGCTGGGAGCGTCGCTGCCTGGATCACGGCCCCGACCCCTGAGGAACGGCCTTGGTCTCCAATGGACTTGCTCTCTGGGCCAGGGTGGGAAACACCCTTGAACCAAGAGCCCTCTTAACGCTGCTGACAGCAGCAGCAAGGAGGAAGGAACATCTTTTTTTTTAAGGCTGGTTTGGGTTTTTAAAAGCCGAACATTTTTTAAATTACTGTAACAAGTGTTGAGACTGGAGATGCTCTCCTTCACACCTCTTCACAGCTGGGTCCTTGGGCTGGTGCTTGCTTTTTTTTTTTTTTTTTTAAATCAAGTACACCCTTTCTAACACTAGCCCCCTGTGGTGCTAGGTGGGTGTCAGCCAAGCCCAAGGGTAGCCACAGTAACCTGGGATCTAAACAACTCTTTGGGTTTTTTTTGTTTTGTTTTGTTTTGTTTTAAGGTTTGGATGGAATCTAGTTGCCTCCAAGAATTGTGCCTTATAGTATTTGGGGACCAAGGGGTAACTGCCCCTCCCTGAAATATCCCTCAGCCTCTTCCCTTTTCCCCAGTGCCATGTCCAAACCCACTGGGGCATACAGGGCTGCCCTGAGCCCCCAGCATGTTGCACATGGCAATGAGGCAAAGACAGAAGGAGGTGAAGGGAGATTTCTCACCACAGCGTGTCACATTCTTCCTGCCCACCACCTCTTAGCCACCCTGTTCTACTCCCCAGCTGTTAAAGGATAGCACAAGTCCTTGTCCCTAGAGCTTCTCTCACCTTTAATTTATTCTGTCCCTAACACCCCTTTCCCCTGCCTTCCTGTCACCTGCCCTTCTCAGAGCTTCCTGGACACAGGCCCCTGGACCGAGTTTCTCAGGGATGCCCGTGCCACTCTTTGGCTCCTCCACATTGCTCTTCAGTCCTGCCCTGGGAGCTGGAGCCTGGGTGTCTGGGGACATCCTGCCTCCAACATAGGATTCTTTCCCATGGTCTTGACTTTGCCCTGCAGAACTCTGCAGTCCCAGAGAGCAGAGCTGTTCGGCACTAAGGCCAGGAGCATTGTGCACTCTGCACACCTCCACAGCCGGGTCTGGGCTTGTGCCTCTCAAGCAGAACATCCCAGCATGCCTGGGGAGGCACTGAGAGAGAGACCCTGAGTTTACCTGGCCTGACATCTTTCTCTAGGGAAGACCTGTGAACCTGAGCCCAAGGGCTGGTGTACACTTGTTTACCATGTAAGCAAGAGTAGAAGAATGTCTAATGTACAGTGGAACCTTGTACAGAATAAATAATAGCTTTGAGAAAGAAGCTGGTAAGTGATGGAATCTTAATTTGGAAGGGGTCTGAACCCAGGAAGGGCTCCTTGCATATGAAAGGCCATATATTTCATTGCTTTAACCAGTCTGTAAGTCTTTTAATCTGTATCCAGATTGGGAAATTTTTACCTACCCACTGTTTAAACTTCTATATAAAAAAAGCTGCTCGTGATGGCAAATGCCTGTGGTTCCAACCAGCACTCAGGAGGCTCAGGCAGGAGGGTCACCATGAGTTTGTGGCCATCAGGAGTGGTGTACATGCCTGTAATCCCAGTACATAGGAGACTGAGGCCAGAGGATCACTGCAAGTTCAAGACCAACCTGAGCTATGTAGCAAGACCCTGTCTCAAAGCACAAAAACGAGATAGTATGTATGTTGGATACTATGTTCATCTGGGTTCACCAATTTTTCCACATCTATATATACTTTTGTGGGGGGGTACTGGGGATCAAACTCAGGCCTTTGTGCTTATGAGGCAGGCGCGGAAACCACTGTGCTAAGTCCCCAGCCCTATTTATGTATACTTTATTATTTTGGCCAATACATTAAGGGAGGAGGTGTCATCACTTGTAAGGGCCTCAGCACACACCCAAATAAGCACATTCTACATGACATCATTTCCCAGGTGGACAATTGACTGAAAAAGTGTTAGTTGACTGCTGCTGTGGTTACTCCTAATTCTCTGCTGAAACGTGGGCACCATGCAGCCCACACCCAGCTAACGCAGGCCTCTCCAGCTGATGTGAGCACCGTGCAGCTTGCTCTTGAGCAGTGGCTCCATCTGGGTGGAAATGAAGTCCTGGTTCTTGATAAAGAGCCTCACCTCTGAGACTCAAACACCTACCACACATATTTCTTTGTTCTCAGGTGTTTTCTTTTTTTGTTTGTTTGGTTTTTGTTGGTGGTGGTGGTTGGGGTTTTTTTGTTTTGGGGTTTTTTGGTGTGTTTTTTTTTTTTTTTTTTTTGGTGTATCAGGGATTGAACTCAATACCTTGTGCTTGCAAGGCAAGTGCAGTGCCACTGATCTAAATCCCCAGCTGTCAGTTTTGTTTTGAAACAGGATTTCACTGTGTTCCAGGCTGGCCTCAAACTTGCACTTGCTCTGTAGCCCAGGCTGGCCTCAAACTCAAATTCCTCCTGCCTCAGCCTCTCAGAGTGAGTTCAGTCCAGAGATGGGACCCAGGGTCTTGGACATGCTAGGCAAGCCCTCTACACTGAGCCATATCCCCAACCCCTAAAACAGCTTTATTAAGACTTGAGATTTAACCCCTTAAAAGTATTAGCTCTTTGGCTTAATGTGTGGGTGCACACCCATAACCCTAGCACTCTGGGAGACTGAAGCAGGAGAGTCACAAGTTGGGCCCAGGCTAGGCAACCTAGACCCTGCCTCAAAATATTTAAAGGGGCTGGGAGTGTAAGCTTGTGTGAAGCCCTGGGTACAAAAATGACTTTGGAAAAACTAACTGGGGCACTGAGAGACACTGTCTTTTGGTTTTCCTTTTAATTTTTCCTACCATTTAGCTTTGCATTTCTGCCACTGATCTTAGAACTACGGAAGCTAAAGTCTTCAGCTATGCTTATCATTTTGCTGGGATATTTTTGCCTCCACTGCTCCAGATCCTGAACAATCAAGGGCTCTCTCTTGCATCCTTGCTAAGACAAGCATCTGCTGCCACTGGAGGCCCATGGGCTGCTGACAAGCCCACCTCACAGAAAGGGACAGTCAGGCATTTGAGGGGCATTTGCCAAGAGTGGAGAAAAGGAATTGAGAACAGTGATGCAAACCCTATGACTTCTCCATGGGGACTCCAACTTCCCAGACCTAACGGGAGTGGCATGATCCAGAATAAGATTATAAAAGCTGATGACTTCCTCCAAGCCATAGGCGAACAAGATCTTCAAAATGGAAACAGGCTTGTAGCTAGGAGACTGGCCCTATAAATGTAAGTTGTCACTATGCCTTTCCTTTGACTAGTTTTTCGCTGGAGGTAGAGGCCATCCTGGGCATTTTCGTTGTCTTCCACAGGGGAACAGTCGGTAATAAGTCAGGGGCTCAACCCTCTGCCCTTGTTCCAGCCTCCCTTCGCTACTTAACCTACAGTGCTTTCTCATCCCCATGGCAGCAGGCCCACATGCTCTACAGACTCTCCAACACAAAGTCTGCCCTTAGCTTTGTCATTAAGTTTTGCCTTCTAGAAACTTGGCTTTCTCACCCACGTCTTCGCTGGCCTCCTTGCAGGCCTTCACCCAGGGGAGGTGCACTTCTGTGACCTTGAACAACACTGGCCCCTTTACTGGGCCTTAGTGCCTCATCAGCAAATTAGAGATTGGACAGAGAAACTTGACGTTCTCTCTGAGAGCTCAGTGTTTTATTCCAAGTCACTTTTCCTCCAAATATATGTTCAAATTGAGACTTACATACTTATGCTTCTTGGGTTCCAGTTTATAGAATTTTTTTAAATGACCAGTGCTTAGAAAAATTCCTGTTTCTTTCTATAATGCTTTAGAGTTGGGACCAGAGTGGGCCCTGATGCCACCATCAACACCAGCTAATGCCAGGCTCTACCAGTTGCTACTGCCAGGTGCTGGTCTCTGCTGCTGCTGGCTAATTCCAGTTGACTGCCATTTGTGTCACTGATCGTCAGCTGCTGGTCTTTGGAGCTCTTCAGGGTTAACAGCCCCAAGTATTTAAGACCTCTTTTTAAACTGACCACTCTGCCGGGCATGGTGACCCATGCCTGTGATCCCAGCACCCGGGAGGCTGAAGCAGGAGGATTGCCATGAGTTCAAGGCCAGCCTGAACTGTATGTGAGACCCTGTCTTTAAAAAAAAAAAAAAAAAAAAAAAAAAAAAAAAAAAAAAAAAAAAAAAAAAAAAAAAAAAAGTGACTACTCTGTCCATACTACTCAGGATAAGAGTCCCAGGTAGATTTACAGGATCTCTAGCCCACACTACCCAAGAAATACATCACTAATAGATTTACAGGACCACTGGAGTAAGGCTGTATTTGAAAAGGGTTTGTGCTGCAACCCAGGAGGATCACTACACCAAAGGGAGCCCTCCTAGACCAACTGCGGGAATGTGAGAGGAGTGCTGCTTATATAGCAGCTGCAGCCTGTGATTGGTCCAAATTTGAGCCTGATGATTTATCTGAATTTGAGCCTGTGATTGGTCCAAATTCAATTCTGTTTAGTTCAAATTCAAGCCTGCTACAGTCAGGGCAGACATTTAGTAAAAGCAGATGCCAAGTGTCCAGGATAGTGGCAATTGTCACGGGGCAGTGTGAGGAATATAGATTGAATTGACCGCTGTCTTGTCTCCCAGAAAAATGACAGATTGGAGCCAAGGTGTGTTTAGGAGGGCTAGATGTGTTCATCACAGCTTATTGGGCTTGGAGGTGTTAATAATGGGCCTGGGTCCTTCCTTGATCTTTCCCTGACCTTTGTATTAAAGGTGGTTTCCCTGGCTGCTGCTTCACACACCTCTAGTCAGAGTGGCTAGAGAATAGCATATGGTAGCCTTCGGGGTGGTGGGAGGACACTGAGCAAGTTGTCCCAGTCCAGCCACAGGGGCCAGAGGGGGAATAAAGGAACCGAGGGGGAGGGGCAAGATACCTGTCACCCAAACCACATCCTCTTCCTGCCCTCTTCCAGCTGTCACAAGAAAAAAGGCAACAGTCAGAGCTTTTGTTTCTCTCACCTGGGCCCTCCTAGGTCTATCATTTTTGTTTATTTAGCTTTTTGTATTTTTTTCAGTACCAAGGATTGAACCCAGGGCTTTCACACTGAGCTACATCCCCAGCTGCTGCCGATGCTGCGCCTCCTCTCCCTCCTCTTCCTCCTCCTTCTCCTCCCAGTTCTTGTCCTCCTCTTCCTTCTGCTCTTCCTTTTTCTCTCCTTATTCCTGCTTTCTCCTTCCTTCCTTTTTCCTTATTCTTAAATTACCCAGGCTAGGCTCAAACTTACAGTCCTCCTGCCTCATTCTCCCAGAGTGCTGAGATCACAGGCATTGCCACCTACCCAGCCCTGCTAGGTCTAACTGAGCTGGAGACCTTGTGAGCACAAATAATCTCCTGTGCAGTATGCAAAGAGCAACAGAAAAGGACTAGCAACTATAGTCCAAGCCTTTTATTTATTCTTTCTAAACCTCAGTCTCCTCATCTGTGAACTAAGCATGACAATACTACTCAGGGTTGACTTCAGTTAAAAACATACTATAAGCCAAGCATGGTGGCACATGCCTATAATCCCAGCACTCTAAAGGCTGAGGCAAGAGGATTGCTGTGGTTTGAGGTCAGCCTGGACTACATAGTGAGCTCAAAGTCAGCCTGGACTACAGAGGGAGACCCTATTTCAAAAAAGAATAGGGTAGGGTCAGGGATTCAGCTCAGTGGTCCCACCACCTGTCTTATAAGCACAAGGTCCCAAGTTCGATCCCTGCTACCAAAAAAAAATAATAATAATAATAATAATAATAATAGGGTATAGCACATAGCAGAAACTCAACAAATGTCCACTTCATACCCACCCCATTTCCAGGACCATTAGAGCTCTACTGAGATTCTCAGTGAGTGATTCTCAGCAAATGTTCAATTCCCCAGCCTCTCTGGACTTCCGCATCCTTTCTCCCAAGCCACATACCTGATAAAAGTTAGGAAAGCAAAATAGGTATAGCTTTGCCCAGACCTCACAGAATTAGTGAGGTAGGGCCACTAAATGGCCATTCTGAATCAAGGCCTGAGTTTCCTACGCCTCCTGATCTGTGGGGTGGCCTGCCTTTTGGAGCTGACAGTGAGCCGGCTATGGTTGAGCTGCTGCCTTCCAGGCTTCTGGAGACAAGAGGAGATCTAGGAACCAGGGATGCAATGAGCAAGGAGAGGAAGGAAGGCCTGTGTTTGAAAGACTTGGAGCTGGAGGCAGGAGACCTAATGCGTACCTATAATGTTGGCCCTGGGAGCAAGGAAAAGGAAAGGCATTCCCAGTTACAGG